AGAAGCGAGTAAAACGTTTTCTAACGATAGAAGTGCGAAGGTTATGTAGGTTGAGTTATGTTAGTTTAAGCTAGGTAGCGTCGTGAAACCACCAAAAAGGACGTCATCTAACAAAATAGTGTTGTTTTATTGCATGTACGAAACTGCAATAGGTGAAATGTTGTGAGAGCACACAAACAGGCATGAACAAGCCAGATACTGCGTGTTGTACCGTTACAAGTGCGAATCTGCTATATTGTGATATTCTCGTTAAAACGCATGCAAGCATCGTGAAACCTTAACGAACGATGTCATTTAGCGAGATACAGCGTTCTGTACTGCAATAAGTTGGTGAAAAACTGTGAGCTGAGGCAAATATCGTAATTGTGAACGAAACAGTGTAAAAGAGCGTTTTTAGATACAAGTGCGAATCTTAGGTTAGGTTAAGATATGAACCGTCGTAACCCGCATTAAACAATGTCACTTAGTGAGATGCAGTGTTTTTCACCATTACAAGTCGGGAACTGCGATATCTAATGTTAAAGTGGAGTGGACTTGGTGGCACCGACCAGGGGACCGATGCTTATTCCTGCTCTTTTCGTTGTGCAGATTGCGCTATGGCCTAAAGGCCTCTCTACCGGGCTGGTCAGAGTGGACTTGGTGGCACCGACCAGGGACCGATGCTTATTCCTGCTCTTTTCGTTGTGCAGATTGCGCTATGGCCTAAAGGCCTCTCTACCGGGCTGGTCACGCATCTGCACACAAATGGAACTACGCCAGTAATCACCGATGACACAACAACAGGGAACGAATCTGCGCAAGCGCCTGCGATCTTCTACGCACCTCTACAGCGCAGCTACCACGCCACGGACGAGATCTCGTCGACGCAAGCAGGCGCCCAACAGTATAAAAGCCTGGCTCATGACACGAGACACTTCAGTGGACTTGGTGGCACCGACCAGGGACCGATGCTTATTCCTGCTCTTTTCGTTGTGCAGGTTAGTAACAATTACTCGGTAACCTCATTAATAGACGATGATGTAACCCTGATGGTGCTGCCAAGTCCACGCTTTCTTGTTGCCCTGATTGCTGATTGCTATGATGTGTGTAAGCTGCTGTTACTAACATCGGGTGATGTTGAGCTAAATCCCGGTCCGAATTCTGATTCGGAATCGGACACCCGTCCCAACAATAACATTCTAAAACAAATACTCAAAGAACAAACTAAAACAAATAAAACGTTAAAGGAAGTAGTGGCTAATTTGAAAAAGGTTGAACGAACTGTGGATAATATGGAAACCAGGCTCACTAAAATCGAAAATGATATGGAACGACTTTAAACACTGCGAAGAAAAATTGGCCGAGTATGAAAGTAAGCACGCCACCATGAAAGGTGAAATTGGAAGTCTTGCACTTAAACTGGATGATTTAGAAAACAGAAGCCGACGTTAATAACTTGATTATCTATGGTGTAACGGAAGAGTCTGACGAAGATGCTATCTTACTGGAAAAGAAAGTAAAAGATGACATTCTGAAACAAACACTCGGTATCGAAGTAAAGACCATCGAAAGAATTCATAGAATAGGCAACCATAGAACCAGCCAGGGAAGGCCAATCATCCTACGTCTCTTCGACTACAGTGAAAAAAACAAAATCTTATCTTGCTGTTATAAACTCAAGGGTACGCCCTTATCCGTCTCCGAAGATTTTTCCAAAAGAGTAAGGGATATGCGCGCGCACTTATGGCACTCTGCGGCAAACGAAAGGGCCAAAGGAGCAAAAGTCAAACTGTCGTTCGATAAACTGAAAGTCAATGATAAAGTTTATACTTGGGACCCAGTAAAGAATGCTAGAACAGATATATCAGAAGAAAGCGGGTCCACCACGAAACAACCGACCAACTTCATCTACGCATAAAACTTCTACAAATAAGAAAAACTCGAACTGACAGCACAGTACTAAAACACTTAGAATCGTTTCCCTCAATGCCAGAAGTGTGCTAAACAAGTTTGATGAACTAGAGAACATAATTTCGTCCTACCAACCTCACGTTCTAATAATAACAGAGACTTGGCTTCACTCCGGAGTACGTGACTCGGAAGTCGTCCCTCCCTCATACAGACTGCTCCGTAAAGATAGAGGGTCAAGAGGCGGGGGCGTAGCGGTAGCAATTAAAAAAAATATCAAATCCTTTGAACTCGATGGCATTCCCGACCACGAAAGCGTCTGGTGCAAAATAACATATTATGATAAAAGTATAATTGTAGGAGGGGTATATCGGCCTCCAAATGCGGCACCTGACTACATTGAAGTGATTCATGATTATCTTTCAAAGCATACTAACTCTAGGTCAAAAATTATCCTTACTGGGGATTTTAATCTTCCCGGAATAAATTGGAACAATGGTTCACATGATGGTCGTGACGTTGCTAGTTCAGAATTACTACTGGACGTAGCGTTCGCGTTTTCATTGAATCAACTAGTAACTGATAACACTCGGATCACTGCGACGTCATCGTCTTTACTTGACCTAGCGTTTGTAAGTAGTACATTAGAAGGTTCTTCTGCGTCCATCGAGAATGGCATTTCCGATCACAAATCGATTACCTTAACCTGCCCTATTTCATGCGCGAAGAAATACAAAAAGCCACTACCTACTTACTTTAAAGATTACGCACGTGCAAATGACCCTGCTGTGCTACGTTTCCTGGAAACACAATTTCATGAATTCATTGAGCTTACAGACGTAAAAGAACTTTGGGCGCATTTTAAAAGCACTGTTAAATATTGCGAAGACACATTCATTCCGAATAAAAAGAAACGCATCAACCGAGAATACCCTTGGATAACGCGTGAGATAATTCAACTGAAAAGAAAAATAAAACGACGGCAGAAAAAGGGAACCAAAAACAACGTACGTGATCTTATCGGGACATTAAAGCATAAAATGTCAGAAGCAAAAACCCGCTTCTTTAACACTACGTTAGCTTCGTTTATGGCGCACTGTCCCAAAAAATTCTGGCGATACTTATCAGATGAAAGAGACTCAATCTCACAAATTAAAAATTCGGAACAAATCATTAAAGATCCCGAACACATTGCTAATGAGATGAACAAGTTTTTTCAGTCAGTTTTCACGAAACATACCAGTAATGCGCTACTACCTCCTTATACTGTGAAAATACCCATGGAAGAATTAATCGTAAATGAGGAGGGCATACTTTCTCTATTACAAAAGCTTGATCAAAAGAAATCTACGGGCCCCGATCAAATCACTAACTCATTTTTAAGCCGATACGCTAATTGGACATCTAAGTATCTCTTTAAAATATACACGTTATCTCTTCAAACTTCACAGATACCAGACGACTGGTGCAATGCTGTAGTAGTTCCTATACATAAATCAGGCCCCAAACTAGAAATAAGCAACTACCGCCCAGTGTCACTTACGAGTTCGTGCTGCAAAATAATGGAACATGTAATTTTCAAGGCCATAATAACTCACCTAGAAACAAACGAACTTCTCTACAAACAACAGCATGGTTTCAGATCAGGCCTCTCAACTATAACCCAATTAGCTGAATTAACTCATGACATAGCCAACGCAATCAACGATAACGTCCAATTAGATGCTATATTTTTAGACTTTTCTAAGGCGTTCGACGTTGTCCCACATCTGGATTTAGTCAAAAAACTAACGGCTTTTGGTATTGATATCAAAATAATATCCTGGATCAACAACTTCTTAACTAAACGGAAACAAAGCGTTAAAATTGACAATCAGCTATCAGAACCACTTGATGTTTATTCTGGTGTACCTCAGGGATCGGTTCTTGCACCTCTGCTATTTTTAATGTTTATTAACGACATCCACTTTTCCGTTGAGAACCCTATTCAGATGCGTCTGTTTGCCGACGACTGTGTCGTGTACACAGTCGTGCGCAATTCAGATGACCAAACTAAACTTAACAATTCACTTCAGGCAATTTATTCCTGGTGCAATACTTGGGGCATGAAACTAAACACATCAAAAACGCATTGCATTTCTTTTACAATAAGAAATCCCCCCTTAACTATACATATAGGATTGGAAACTCAATTATCGAAAAATGCAATCAAGTAAAATACCTAGGCATTACACTCACGCCGAACCTTAACTGGGAACCACACATCTTGGCCATGTGTCAGAAAGCGGAAAGGAAGTTATCTTTCTTGAGAAGAAAACTGCGCAATGCACCACCACATATTAAAATAAATGCCTACAAAACACTAATTAGACCATGTTTAGAGTACGCCGATCTCATCTGGAGTCCACATCAAAAGTACCTGATTAGTAAAATAGAACGAATACTAAAATTGGCAGTAAGGTTCGTATATTCAGAATTCGCGAGGCAGTCCAGTACCGCAGATTTACTCGCAAGGGCAAACTTAAAACAACTTTTTCAACGCAGAATAATGTCACGATTAAAATTCCTTTACCAATTATATCATGGTCATTTCCACATATCACGCTCTCATTATCTGCAAGATCCGCCTAAACAATCATTCCGACTAAATCATTCTAAAACAATACGCCAACCTTTAAGTCGTGTAAACGCTCACAAACATTCACTTTTTCCGTCAGCTATCTCCCTCTGGAACAGCCTACCCAACGACATTGTTTGTTGTAGTACGATTGACTCTTTCATCAACCGTATACAGTGTATTGAATTTGCACCATGATTTTTTTTTCTCTCTGGCAATGTATGTATTTCGATGTATCTGTGTACCCACTCCTGCTTGGGCCGTGAAGGGCCTGCAGTATATTCAAATAAAAAAAAAAGCGCTTGCAACCGTCGTTAGGTTAGGTTAGGTTAGGTTGGGTTGGGTTGGGTTAGGTTAGGTTGGGTTGGGTTGGGTTGCGTTGGGTTAGGTTAGGTTGGGTTAGGTTAGGTTAGGTTAGGTTACGTTACGTTAGGTTAGGATAGGTTAGGTTAGGTAGGTTAGTTAGGTTAGGTTAGGTTAGGTTAGGTTTGGTTAGGTTAGGTTGGGTTGGGTTGGGTTGGGTTGGGTTGGGTTGGTTTGGGTTAGGTTGGGTTGGGTTGGGTTAGGTTAGGTTAGGTTAGGTTAGGTTAGGTTAGGTTGGGTTGGGTTGGGTTGGGTTGGGTTGGGTTGGGTTGGGTTGGGTTAGGTTAGGTTAGGTGGGTTGGGTTGGGTTGGGTTGGGTTGGGTTGGGTTGGGTTGGGTTAGGTTAGGTTAGGTTGGGTTGGGTTGGGTTGGGTTGGGTTGGGTTGGGTTGGGTTGGGTTAGGTTAGGTTAGGTTAGGTTAAGTTAGGTTAGGTATGTTAGGTTAGGTAAGGTTAGGTTAGGTTAGGTTAGGTCAGGTTAGGTTAGGTTAAGATATGAACCGTCGTAAAACCGCATTAAACAAAGTCACTTAGTGAGATGCAGTGTTTTTCACCATTACAATTCGGGAACTGCGATATCTAATGTGAAAGCGCTTGAAACTGTCGTAATGTTGTAGAAAGCAATGTAAAGTAGCGAGTAAAACGTTTTCTGACGATAGAAGTGCGAAGGTTATGTTAGGTGTAGTTATGTTAGTTTAAGCTAGGTAGCGTCGTGAAACCACCAAAAACGACGTCATCTAACGAGATAGTGTTGTTTGATTGCGAGTACTAAACTGCGATAGGTGAAATGTTGTGAAAGCACACAAAACGGCATGAACAAGCCAAATACTGCGTGTTGTACCGTTACAAGTACGAAACTGCTATACTGTGGTATTCTCGTTAAAGCGCATGCAAGCATCGTGAAACCTTCAAGAACGATGTCATTTAGCGAGATACAGCGTTCTGTACTGCAATAAGTTGGTGTTAAACTGTGAGGTTATGCAAATATCGTAAGTTTGAACGAAACAGTGTAATAGAGCGTTTTTAGATACAAGTGCGAATGTTAGGTTAGGTTAAGATATGAACCGTCGTAAAACCGCATTAAACAATGTCACTTAGTGAGATGCAGTGT